TGCAAAGAGGTTCAAATTTCGCATTTACAATAGCGCTTAAATGCCATTTTTTATACCGTTCTAAATTTTTTAAAGAAAATTGCCTTTTAGGACGAGTTTTTAATATTCTTATAATATTTCCGTTAGGAAACCGAAATATTAGGAATATTAGTAAACCGAAAAATAAAAAATAAAAATGTGTTTTGAGCGCCGAAATATAGCAAGCTGGCAAGAGTATATGGCAAGTACGAATAGCTATCCGAGACCAAAGGAAAAAGAAAACTAATACGGGAAAGTCTGTGCCATTCCGTTGCCCCACTAGGGCGATGGCCGGATACGTTGCCTACCAACTCTAACTTCAGCTAAATGTGATCATGTGATTAGTGACATAACTATTTCGAAAGGTTTTCTTTTTTTAATCGCTTACACTCTTTTTATCCACTTAGGTTTTGGAAGGTTGGTAAATCCAACCTTCCATATTTGAGAAAAGTTTCGTAATAAGTTATTTGTACACTTTTTGCACTACCATAGGTTGTTACAACACACTTTACAACTGACCCGCTTTGCAAACTGTAATCAATTTCGTGATAGGTATTACTAAAACGCCTTTACATCTTACTGTAACTATTACACGACTGTGCAAATCAAATACGGACCTTAGTTTGTTACGGATCAGTGTGTAAAGCGATTGTGTTCTTCACTCTACACTCTGAAGGGTTCGATAGACTTCATATATAATATCGTTGTAATTTTCTTCTCCCTAGTGATGCTGGATAGGCATATTAGGTTAAGTATGAAACGCATTTCAAATTGTTTTCTGTAATTATAAACTAGTGATGCTACAGAATGGCACAGATTTTCTCCTATTAGTTTGTCATTTTCCTTTTGTCAGGGCTAGTTAGTCGGACTTCAACAATGTACTATTGCCAGGCGTCATCTATCGCCTCCCAAAGTAAAGCAGTAAATAAAGAGTAAAGCAAGCACCGTCAAGTAAGAAAATAGTTTTATGTGCACGTTTCGATACCGTCAATGCTCTGGAGTCTACGAAAAAAATGCTCATGACAATAAATGTTAAAGCGAGATGCTTCCTTAAGCGATTGCTGCAGGCCTTTTTGTTGAGTTGTGGAGAAGAGTATTATTGTTGCGTTATTACCAGTGAATCTCTTGTGGTTTTGATTGAATGCGTATTACTCGACGAAGAGCGTGTATTTTCAGGCGAAATGAGAATTTGAATCTTTATATTTACGTCTGTATAAAACCTTTATAATCCTACAAGTTATGTTTATATATTAATCGGAAATATCCCTCAGAATACATTTCACACTTAAGTGCTGAGTATTTACGTTTATGGTGAATTGTTACATTTGTCGTTTACAAATCTGTGTGTCGGAGGTATAGGACCCTATGTCATATTTACTAAATTTTACAGCAGAGCTGTTTGAAGGTTTGCATACCTCTAAGTGAAAGTGGACTTGGTGTTATTTTATAGCACCGTAACTCCGCCATTATTAGATGTAGGACATAGTGTAGTATACCTCTGGATAGAGGACAAAAAGCTAATATTATTGCACCAATAATGTCATTTTGGCCAAAAATGGACATAGTGTCCTATACCTCCGACCCAAAGAAATATATTTTGTGTCTAGCACGTATCTGAGAATTTTAAAAGGTATCGTCGTAATTTGAAATCTGGGGCCGAACTGATTGAATTAAGACAGGTGGCGAATATGTGTTAGGCAGTGATGTAGCGCGGGTGTCAGCCGCCCGGGGCGGAGGAAAATGTCGCCGCCTCCTTAAATAGGTATTTCAATTTAAAAGACAAAAATATACAGTAATTGTAAAGACTTTTCGACGAGAACAATTCTCATTATTGTGTATTGTACTGGGTACAAATGAAAAAAATATGTACAGATGTTTTACAATGTAATAATCACATGTCCTACAATATTATAATCATTATGTATTCATTTAAGGAAGTCGTTACAGGATTAGTAATGAAAGATTCCGTGTTCATTTCAATTGGTCCGAATCGTGGATGCGAAAAAATATGAAATTTATTGTGAAATAAAGCCTCTCCCTAAAAGTGTCGCTCGGGACGGGGCCTACGCTACGCCATTGGTGTTAGGTGAATTATATGTTCAGTTAGAGTACTTAAACGAAAGTAGTACATTCGGGCTACTGTAGCGCATCTTGTATTAAAGCTTACACTCACCTGCTAAGTGGTAGAACCACCGATTAGGTTAAATAACAATAAAAATGGATAAAGATATGGGATTGGGAGTTGTGGCTATACCATGGTGTTTCTGCTGTTTCTCTAATATTTCGTTTTTTGCATATTTATAATGCTCCTCCCCACACTTGGCATACATATATAAAAATGGATATAATCAAGATCTTCCATACAAAAAAAGCATTATCAAGGAGGTTAAAACAGAGAAGGGATGTTTTATGAATGGTCGGATATGGTTAACTCGTTGTTGTACTTTCCTAACCAACGTTGTTATGTGTGAAGACCATGTAAGTCTAGTTCGGGTAGTAGTTTGGTCTAGTATCTAAATCGAGAATTCACACGTACACTTTGGGATGTAGCCTTCGTTCTGGTCAAGTATCAGAATCAAAGCTTGTTTTGAAACCGGAAAGGGGAAGCGTTACGCAGGGCCTGTGCCCCCGGGGGGAAGGGGCTCGCGCCGCTGTTTCGTCAGCAAAGGGCCACGCCCTGGGACCTTCGGCCGGAGAGAGAACGACCCGGCAATTCACTCTGAAAGATAAGATAATTATTTATTTCGACGTTGTAAAAGGACCTTAATAAGCAACAACTGTATTGTCTAATATCTAAAACTAAATTACTGTTTATTCTGTTGGTTCTGTTTTCAAATGATTCTTGTATATAAATATTATTAATGTATCTATCGTATGCGGCTGCAGAGGGCCAATGGCCAAGCTAGAATAAATACATTTAAAAAAATAAGTAACAATGACAATGAATATTGTTCGTAGGATCATAGATTTCGGATGTTCATGAAACTTCAGATCTAGTGACTCACGAAATTGATCATGCGCATGACGTTAGTAAATAAAACAATATTACTTCTAGTACTACTTACAAAGTAGACTTTATTTTGAACAACACTGTTTTGAAACTCATACAGAATACCAGTTTGAAGATTTGTTTTACCCTTTTTGCCTATTTTAACGTACATATTGCCTTTTCACGCACATGTACCATGTTTCAAATGCATTTTTAATAATTATTTACTTCCGTCTCTTGATTGAAAATAAACGATTAAAATCCATTTTTAGGAGGCAAGTCAATAAACCTTTTTATATAATTAAACGTTTATTTATATTCTATTCATACAATAAGTAAATAAGTAACAAACATAAATAAGTAATAATAAGTAAATTTGACTACATAGTTAACGTTGATTGAAGAAGATACTCATTAGTACAATTTCATTAATACAATTGGTACACCTAAAACACTTAAAATCTGTTACAAATCGAGAGGCTTAAACATTTTAAGAAGTCTTGTTTTTAAACTGTTATCTAACAAATTTATGGCTTCAGTAATGGTATGGCATTGTAATTTTTTGAATTTATTTACAAATAGAAACGTTTTTATTTATTCATCAACTGTTGACATTAACAACTGACTTCCAGCATTGATAATCTTCCGTACGAAATATTCTTTCAGAAAAGTAAGATAAGTAAGATTCTGTTCATTGGAAGAATTAATCCATTTTCATCTCCGTTGTCACATCCGAAAAAATGAAACCAAAATGGAACGTGGAGTTCGATGGGATTTCAGTAGCCCCGTTACATTGTTGCACATTTTCGGAATATCCCCCACTCTGATTTTCTCGAGGATTGAAGCTCACGCACAGGGACTTCTCGCGTGAATCCCGTTCACAAGGGCGCAAATTTCCTTTTTATCAACTGAAAATTCGGTGTACTGTATTCTTGCAATTTTCCTGCGAGATGTTTCTTAAGGGTTAAATTAGGAAAACTGGCTTCAATGGGCTGGTTGGGAGAGGGATGCTCTGTAAACTGGAGTACTTACACACATATGATCCGTTCCTCGAAAAATCTATTGTCGAGAAGGATTGTCTTTATACAGGAAAGAATGGTCTGATGTCACCAAATTACTTCAGCGTCCGGGTCAACGAATCCCATTTTGATCAGGTTTTTGTCCAGTTTCCCTGATCCATTGAGCAAATGCTGAGATGACCCCTTGTTTTGCTTCTGGACGTAAACGTAACTTCACTATGCGCACGTTTTGCTGAACTCTCCTTTTGTTTGTAATGGTAAGAGTAGAGGTAAGGGCAAGTTGCTATTTTGTTAGCAATGCAGAAAAATCATACCTGCAATTCGTTTACCGATGAAAATAAGTTTTCTACAACTTGGGCACGAAAATATCTAGTTTTTCGATTGTCGCTAATCTTTTTTTTAATATTGCTAATCACGCGCTTTTTTAATTTTTTAAAATTTATTTATATTAAACGTTTACTAATCTTTCAACTATTTATAGTTAAAATGACGAGAAGGGATTCTGGAACTCAAGAAAACGTGCGCAGATGATATTCTCCCCCATACGTCACATACAGTTTTTACTGGTTTTTTACAAAATAAATCTAATCTAATGAAGGGGGCTGTCTTTGAGAGGTTTCACTGTAATCGGTTCAGCTCCTTATATAAGAATTATTCTTAAGCCGTACGAACGAATAGTTTTTAAAATGTTCCGCTCAGAACCTGAAATCATTCCTTGCTTCCCTTTCCCCAAACCACTAGAACTTTGAATACGTCCACGAGGACTTTTCATGGAAAAGAGAAAATGCTTATGATTTCCTTGTAATATAAATATTTTTGTAGGCTTTGTAAATACCATGTAAGTTTAAATTACATTGCAGTAAGGTCAAATGTCAACAATTCCAAGGCTTTGTCATAAATTATTGAAAAAATAAAAATAATACTCATGAAAACTGATAACTGGTACACGTTTCATGCAATGCTGTCTCTTGCAGGTTGATCTATCGTTTTGCAGAAATTTACATCATCAGCCACTTACTGAATGGGAAGAACGTGTCTGTTGTCACCAAATTCAGAGAACAAGTGGCGAAGCACCCAAACAAAGCATGCTACATCTTTGAAGATACTGTTTGGAGCTTTGCTGATGTAAGTTACAAAAGCATATTTTAAGCACGACAATATCTGCACGAATTTGGTTTCAGTATTTTCATTTCAGATAAATTGTAACATCAGATAAATCGTTTCGATGAATTTTTGGAAAACCATAAAGGTATAATTAAGTAATAAAATTTAATTATCTATGGATTAGGAATTCACACCCCTCATATCTAACATTTTAAAGGCATTTTAAAGTGTGAAGATTCTTTGACTTATTAAATCATATTAGCAATCGTGAAACTTCCCTAATAATAAACCCGGCTAATAAATCGGGTTATGACAACTTTTCTCAACCTTAATTTGCAACCTGCTCGTTTTAGAGTGCACGATACAATTTTCAGGGCGTTCTAGACGTCTTTCTTTGATTTGATCTATCCTAAATAGAGTCAATAAAAGCAGAGCGAAGGGGAGGGAAGGAAAGAACAGTACTTTATCAGCAGATGAATTCGAAAGTGCAGGGAGAACAATTTTGCAATAATAAAACTACGATTCAAATTATTTTTACTGAAAAAGTCAAAATCATACGTGTCCAAAATAAAATAATTCAACAATTTTCTAACAAGTCTCGTTATGTCAGTATTAAGAAAATCCATTTGAGCCATCATTGGGCAATCTCATAGCGCTGCATTTCAGTGTGTCATGCTGAGATAAGCGAGAGATAAAAGAGTCCAATACGTTACGGAATATTTCGGCGGTGAAGACTGCTAGGGGGGTCGATAACGTGCCTTATTGCCACCTCCGAAATATCCATAAGAATCCATGCTTGGATCTCTAATACGCATTACCCTCTGTATTATTTCGCTTTTCCACAGAGGAAATGGGGAACTAATCTGATATTCTGGCCTGGGTGATTCAAATTATCTCGATATTGGACTCCGTTTCCGAAGCCTAAAGATAGACATCGTTTTAGTCTGGATTTAAAATACACTATGTTTGGTTAGTGATATGATATCACGAGATTTAGGATCTCACTAAAGACGCCTCTGAGCTAAATTCAAAATCGCCCGTTTCTCGCCCAAGAAATGCCTCCTTCCTCTGCGTGTTGGTGAAAGGAGCGTAGCGAAATTTGCGTGGTCAGACGGAAGAGCGGGCCTGATGGCCCGAGTCTCGCCACGTAAAATAAGCCGTTAATAATAATAATAATAATAATAATAATATCATACTGCGCGTACCTTCTGAGTTGTCGAAATCAGTGAGACACTCATACCCTTGCCACAACAAGGGTCGAAGGTAGAGCCCACCCTCCATTAAATCTTTACTATTCATATGATATTGTATGGAACAGAAACTTTTTTTATATTTTTGGTACGTAAAGAACAGTTTTTTTTCTGCCAATCCATGTTTACTATGTTATGCAGTGCAATATTGCCGTATTCATGAAGGCATTAGGAAATGTCACAGTGCAGGTGCAACATGATGTTCTTAGTTGTCTCGCAAGAGAGCTCCTGCGGTACCCAGGAAGAGCAGCGTAGAAAGGGTAGGGTTCGGAAGGTGGTGATTGGGACTGTCCAACCACAGAAATGATTGGGACTGTCCCAAACAGGAATCAGGGAATGTCACCGCCTAGGTGCTTCGTATATTTGCTTCCCTAGCAAGCTCGTAGACCACCAATGCAGGCTAAGATAAAAAAACTGTTTGAAATGAGCTGTATGGTGAGTGAGAAAAGCCCTCCATGACACAACGCATGGGTAAACGACCATGCCTAAGTGAAACACGAACCCGCGACCCCTTGGACCGAGAGAACTAGTGCATACCTCCCTGATAGACCTCAACAGTCTTGGAGCGCTCATAATATTTACATATTACATGTACATAATATGAATAAATGTATTATGTATGAATATGAATAATAATATTAATAAATGAATAATGTTGACATAAATAAATATTGATTAAAAAAGTTCGTAAACCAAAATATAGGCATTGACAAACGTTTGTTTAGAATTTTAAAGGTCTATTTCAAAACTCTGTTGCACGTCATCGGGCCTCTGAAAGTATTACTCATTTGTTTATTTCCTGTTTCCACGTGAGTCACCGCTGTGGAGCCCCGACGAATTAATTATTTTGCACTGATTATCCAATGAAATACGACCGAAGTATGACACGAAATTCGACGCAAAACATTTGAACAAAGGAAATTCCTTTTGGTCGTTATATCAACAACGAAGGGGAAGTAAACATTACCAAGATTACTCAGCAGAGTTTTATTTCAAGAATCAAACGAGCGGATTTTGCTAAAATTTCATACTGTATACGCGTGACACAATAAAATGCAGAATATCTTTTGTTTTAAATTGCGCAACATTGTTTGACGTTTCTAATATCTTTTGTTTGGGCGAACATTGGTATTCCAGAAATCGAGCATAATAGTCGAATACAGATATTAATTCCTTTAGCTCATGTCTTCGAAGAAATGCAAAATAAAACGTCTAAAAGGAAAGATTTTAAATTGGTTTGTATAAAACTGCTCTTTAAGAATTAAGCAGTGTCGGAGCTTCGGAACCGGCTTATATAGCTTACAGGATCAACTGATGTCACTGCATTGCGTCTAAGCGGGAGATTCTAGGATGGCAGGAATTTAGACACTAGCGAGATAGCTAGGTCGAATTCATTCGCTGTCGAGAGGAGGAGAATAGTAGTGACCAGCGCCTGTGATCGGTAGTTTCGTAGTTTCTCCGATCAAAACCAGGAGAGTGCAAGTACAGTACGCTACCGCACGGGATATTTCCTTCCAATTCCTTGTCCTATCCTCACCCCTTATACACACACACACGCGCACACACACACACACACACACACACACACACACACACACACTCACACACTTGTAAAGTTTGTTCCGTCTGGGGCTATGCCCCGCTGTTGGAAAGTGCCCGGTTGGAGGATAACCCCGGAAGCCGAAGGTAGGTCGTCGCCGGATCTTGTCATCTAGCGGGAGTAGTTCACCGCCACCTCTCGTGATAAAACAAGCACGACAATTACGGCGCTAACCTTAGCTATTGACGTGTCCGGAATCACTTATGAAACAATTAATCAATCTGAGCTTGGGTCGGTGGGCTCTCGATTCCTGGGGCTCAGACGGCGCAATAATCCGAGATACGTATTTGACTGCGACTTACATAAATGACTGGAACGAATTCTTATCTTGACATTTGTACCTTTTTCCATACAAATATTAGATTGAAAGCGATTTTCGATTTTGATGAAATGTCTTTGATCGTATTTTATATAGAAAAAAATATTTCCTTTTCGCAGAAAGTAAATTAGTTATATGATATTCCGGTGCAAAAAATATAATGTGATTCGCTCCCCCCCCATTTTTTTTAAAGAACACGTCACAGAAGCTTCCCTCACCAGTGTCAGCCGAATATTTTACCAGATACGTTTAGTTTCTTCTCGTTTAGTATCTTTGTTAATTAAATGAAACGAACAGTCATATCACTTGCAGTGAAGTAGCTGCAATAGGTTCAGAAAATTTAGAATGCAGATTTAGTATCACTTTATGTACAGACACTATGGTCATCTCTTCATGTTTTCTTGTTTCCCAATTCAAAACGTGTATTTCAGAGGTGCCGAAGATAATTGACAATTGGAACTTCTACATTGCAGAGCACACACTTACTGGTGATAAATATTTTACCATAATAAATTATTTACTTCTATATGGGGTAATGGGATCTGTCAGACATTGGGAGCACCTATACAATGTCATTAATTGAGGGGTACAGAACACAAGGGTTGTAAAGTAAAAGCTTCGTTTTATTTCGTGAAGAAATGGTATTCCAATAGGTCAAAGAGTTACCGAATTCTACTGGTGAAAAAAAGTGCCTTCCATAGCATTTTCTAATGTTACTAAACATTGAACTCCATTTCTTTTAATACCACGTTTAGGGCATTTATATCTCTTGTGGTCTACGTATCTCAATTACACGCGCTAGATAACCGAAGTTGACGCAGAGTGTTCCTTGGAAATCTTTGTTATTCCTCCAATCCAGCAGTGACTCAAATGCCAGGCTGTTCTTCAAGGTGAGCTTATGTTTTATTTTCGACTGGTGCACTGCTAGTACGACTGGTGGTAATTTCTGCTGACCTCTAACTAAGCAACGGTGTAATTTTTATAGTTTCTAAACAGATTTCAGAGCACTATAATAGCACGGAGCCGCGGTGGTTCACCATTACCGCTTCCTGGCCTGAAGGACTTAGTTTCGACTTCCGACAAAGGTTCGGATTCTTATCTGGAGATTTCCATTTAGGGCGATTTGAGGCCGACGTAGCTTCCTTTCCAAGTGAGTACCAGATTCTTTCCTGGGGATAAAGGCGGCCGGAGCGTTGTGCTCGCCACACAACCTCCTCCTTATGCCGACGGCGACGAGTAGGTGGAGCCCTACATTCACCTTACCTTTTGGAGCACATCGGCCTGTGTGTATTGTACACGGGAACCTGTAAATCTACGTATTATAGCAGCACGAACCGTATCATTAAAGTAGGTTATTGGTAGGTTAGGTTCATGTTAAAATTTTTACTATTTAAAAAAATGTCGAATAATAATATATATGATGCGTAATGAGACCCACTCCAGTGGGTTAATTGTAGCCTGACTTACATAAATCACGAAGAGGGCAAAATTGACCCTAAAAAAAGTTTGAAAGTTCTGAAGGAACAGAAAAACTACTGTTTTATTGTATGCTCTACAAATGAGTTTTTGTGAGTTAAATGAAAAAAATGACTCCTGTTGCTTCACGGAGACTCTCATTACCCGATGCACGTGATTCTGGCAACCAGTTGTGTTTATTTGGTATATACTTTTTTCTCTTTACAAAAATTCACTCTTGATTTTTTTGTCATTAGAAAGCTCTTGAATTGCCAAACCAAAATAAAAAACCTTGTTAGAAAAATAATATTTTATATTAATTTCTGTTGTTTACATATATATATATATATATTTATATATAACACATTAAAACTCTTTTTCACACACCAAACCAGTC